GGAGATAAGAAGCCGAGACAAGCGAAGATCATGGTGACAAGAATCATTCCAAAACACTGAACTCCAGTTCCTGCATAGACACAAAGCAAGTCCGGGTTTTCTGGTGGTCTGAAAACATCTCCATGAACCAGTTTCCAACCCGTCTCTTCGAGGACTTCTTCATGAGTCTCTAGCTGATTGTAGTTGGAGATATCTCGGTAGAGTGTTCTTAACATGATCATAGCGACCATACCAGATAGGAAAAGAACAATCATCATGGAGTTAACAATTGAGAACCAATGAATCTGATCATCAGCCATCAGAAGGTAAGTATCCCACCTAGACGCCCATTTCACTTCACTTTCTTGGAAATCAACATCGTATGTGAAGATGATCTCGTTCCCTTCTTCAACCTCTTGAGGAGACTCAGAGTTTGTGACTGCACGCTTTGTGTGCGGATCACATGTACTTAACCGAGTCTTTTCATTCCACTGACCTTCATATTCATGCTTGACACTGCATTGAGATAAATGTTAGTCTACACACTGCAGAATCAGATTCAGGTCCTTAAATAATAGAACGTATTCACAAAACGTAACCTGAACGGCTTGACCTCAAAGCCGACAATTCTTGAAGAATCGGTCTGTATATCTCTGTGAAACCTAACAGTGAAGGTCAAATGGTTGTGGATAAAATACTTCTCCTCCTTCTTCTACATGAAAATCAAAGCACAAAAGGTAAGAATCAAAAACTCCTTCCTTTACAAAAACATATACAGAAAGGTGATGATGATGAGCTCTTACGCCAACAAAGATTCCTTTCAGACCGACATGGAAACCATGCTGATAAACTACAACATTGTCCTGATCTGGCCTTTGCACCGGAACAACTAGCGGAAGGTTGTCCAAAATCCTGCCACAAGAAACCAATCTCTTCATAAGAAATCAATCTCCTCATAATTCAACCAAAAGGAGAAGGAAAATGCCTCACATGTTGACTCGATATTCATCAGCAATCTTCTCCTTTAAAGCCTTGGCGCTTTTCTTGTCAAGCTTAACGCGACAAACTGCAGCGCACATCTGCGATTCCCTCATTTTAAACTGCAAAACAGAAAATAGATCTCATCAAGTAGATGCATAGATAAAGAAACCGAAAGGAGTTGATGATGGGAAGAAGTAGAGGAAACAAGAAGATACCACAAAGGGAGAGTTCTCAATTCGATCACCGCGTAGAACTTCCCCGAGATTCTCTGCACTGTCAACGATTTTCTCTGGACGGCAATAAGGAAGAGAATAGTACGAGTATGGAAGCTGAGTCTTTGTAGATGTCAGTTTATTAACTTTCACCATCAATGCATCTCCCTGCAAAATCCATAACTCTCAATACTTCAATTTTATTTCTTCAAGAGCTAGATTCATGAAGCTTTATCAAAGCAACAAGTTGAAACAATGGCTTAAATCATAAACACAAAAGATTAGTGACAACTTAACATAAAAATCTCCTAAATCACATAACAGAAGAAAGTAAGATCCAATTTTGACAAGATTATTTCATCAAACAAGTGACATTGCAACGGATCTAAATCAGGGATTAACTAAAAGTAATCGATCAAAGCAAAAATCGTTGTGAATCAAAAACCCAGATAACAAAACCACATTTTGAGGCTGCATTTGTATATAGAGAAGCGATTTTTGTAACTGACAATTTGAAAATCCTGTGGAGCGACGCCGGGAAGGTAAAAGCCATGGATATGGACATTGAGAGAGAAGAACATAACACAAGCGAAGATCAAAATCCGAATTTCGATCGGTCCTTTTAGAACCGCCATGGAAGAGCTCGATTTCTTCTTCTTCGTCTTCTTTTTCTTCGAAGAATAGGAATTAAGTAGAAGTGAATTTTGTTTAAATGCAGGAAAGCTTCATGGCAATTGGATGATTTCTGACCGTTGGATCTCTTCAAACCTCGCTTGATTTTAATCAACGGTTGATAGTTCCTCATTTGGAGCTGTCGGTGATTCTTCTTCTATCAGTGTAATTAAATATCAAAGTCAACACTTTTGGTAAATTTTTTAATTTAAAGTGGAAACTTAATAAAGTTTTACGTAACTTCTCAATACAAATATGATATATCAAATTCAAATTACTTTTGAATCTAAGGAAACGATTTTTTTTTGTTTTGTTTGTTATTTAAGTTTAGTAGCCAAGTAGGTTAGGTGAAACTTGTTAACGTAGCAAAGTAGAAATGAGTTAGTGTGGAAAATACGAATAATTATGAAAAAAGATATTTCGAAATAATAAAGAAATAAAAAAGACGACAAAAAATAAAGAAATAAAAAAAGGATTTAAATCAGTTAGAAGATTGATTAAATTTGGGTAACGAGGGTGACCCGCTAACTATACTAGCAGACTATGAAACCCACACACACCAGCAACCACCTTTCATACATTTGGTCAAAAAAAAAAAAAACTACCTTTCATACGTAAATAAATGCATAATACTGTATACCCAAAAATATGGAAAAAAATATATACACACATATCTGCATTACGTTAACCTAATTCTATAATAAGTAATTGTGAAAATTAACTTCCTTTTTTTCAATAAATTTGGATGATTCACATCAGCAGCAAATTAGGGTCCAAGAGTAGAACCTGGTTCAATCGCAACCTGCTTAAGCCGTCCAATTACTCACAGACGGAGTCCAAGACTAGAACCTGGTTCAATCACAACCCACATACGTATTTTAACTTGTTTGGCAAAGACCAGACAACACAATCAGCCGATAACTCGTTAAGTCAGCCTTGATTTATAAAAAAAATAAGATAATAAACTCTATGTATGCTTTTATAAGTTTAATTTTTTTACTCTTTAAATAGTTTTTTTCAAATGAGTTATATATGTTTTGATATCCGTTGCCGTTGGTGAGCATATCATGGTCGGTTCACAAACTAATAAATAAATATTATTTTTAAAAGTTACTGTTTTAATTGCTACTTGCGAGTCTCTGATCATAATTACCAACAATTTCAAAACAAACAAGACCCAATGGTCTTGAACATTGTAGAGTGAAGATCTTTCACCAGCGTACAAAAGGGAAGATATGCAAAAAAATCGTGGAAGTTTAAAACGGGCCTTTAGATAAAATCTCCAGCTTTGATTATGGGCCTCAATTTTTAGGAAACAAAAGTATTTTTCTAATATAGTAGCTACTTCCTTAAATTTTAGGCATCTTTTTGGACAAACAAAATATACACAGTTATGCGTACAAAGGTACAAACTAGACTAAGAAAACCTACTAGAATATTTTCCAATTTGGCTCATATTTTCGAAATTAATCACGATATCGACAATAACAATTCATAGCAGGTGCTATATATTTATTTCGATGCAATTTTACACAAATGTAACAAAAAACTACCCATGTCTAGAAGATCTTAATTCAAATTCTATGAATTTTTTTTTATATATTGGGAGGTAAATCTTAGGGGTTTTGGGTCTAAACTAGTTTTCATTAGATCCAATATCTTTTTTATGTAAATTCAAGTCGTAGCTCACATGATTGGATGGTAAAGAGTTATGTTATAATTCTGCGTTCAAAGAGATTTGATCTCTAATCTAGACTCATATAGTTGAATTTTTTATTGGAAGAGAACTACTCCACTATAACCTCTTGAAGCAACCAAGTAGGATGTTAGGGCATCTCCAACGGGAGTCCGCCACAGGTTCATAAGGAGGTTCATTGATTTTTTTAATTATTTTTTAATCGATGTAAACAAAAAATTTGATGAACCGGTTCACTGCAGAGGATCTGAAGAGGCGGGTTCATAATGCACGTGTCCACACCTGATTCGTTGACAAATTGAGGTAATTTTCTGCAAACTTTTTTCTTTCACTTCGTCTCGAAAATATTCATCTCTCATCTCATTGTTCATGCGAAAAGTTTCTTCTCTGCAGCGATAATCGTCGAGCGCTAATCGGAGAATTAACGGCAAAATCGTGAAGGCTTCTCTTCCTACTGTGTCAAGGTATGTCTTCGACTCTTCTTTATGGAAATTGAATGACTGGAAAAGCTTGGGTCGTTGTAAATTTTGCTTAGGTTTTTTCGATTTGGGGAAATTTTTGGTTCAGGATTTTATTCTAAATTGAGTTTAGTGACACATTGAGAGTCTGTTTGTGATAGCTTATCCATGCGGATTTGGTATTCTATCTTTTACATACTTGTAATTAGGGTTATCGTTTTGATTTGCTTGATATTGAGGTTTATGTTCGATTGTTTTGATGGGTCTTCATCGTTTTGTATATATGTTTTGGTTATTTTGATGGGTCTTCATCGTTTTTGGTTATTTTGATGTGTCTTCATCGTTTTTGTCAGGTTCATTTGATGGGTCTTCATCGTTTTTGGTTATTATGATGGGTCTTCATCGTTTTTGCTTTATGGTTTTCATCGTTTCTGTATATATGTTTAGTATTGTCGATAATGTATTCATCTCTTTGGTTTTTGTTACTGTTGAGCGTTGAATGGATTCATCCGTTTTACACAAAGCGTGTAATGTATTCATCCGTTTTACACGCTTTGTTATTAATGATTCTGATACACTTACCATTTATTATGTCTCTCTTAACATTTATTTCATTTCTGCGAGGCCAAATGGAGAATGTAACTGGAATACCCATGACGTTAGGAGTTTCCAACTAGAAGTGAAGCATTTCGAGTGTCCTGGTTTGCGACAGTCAATAAAGGTTAGTCTTATTCTTCCCTCTTTTAGCTAAGTAGGTGGTTTTCTTAGTAATGACGAGTATGGAGTTGGTTTTCTTATTAATGACGATGGTTTAGGTTGCTTGGTAAAGTAGGTTAAATATTAAATGTCTTTCATTGATTGATTTAACCGTTTTAAAAATTTCCTTCTTCCATTTAAACTTGTTGAAAGCTCATTTCTAAACACACCTCAGTAACTCAGATACCTTCTTCTCCTTGTAAAACACGTAAAACACATCTCAAACACTTGTTCCCTAACTCCCAAATGGATTCAACAAATGGTTTTGTTAATCACTCTTTCGTGAACCTCCTAACTAGCCAGGAAGATAACCCTTACGGTTACTCGCAAACCATAGATCTTAGGTCTCCTGAAGTGCCACGGTTTAGCAGCCAAGAAGATCCAACTTTAACGTAAGAGGACCGGAGTGTTAGGCGGAAGTGGACACCACTTGAAGATACTGTCTTGATCAGTGCATGGCTATACCAGCAAAGATCCGGTGGTCGGCAATGACCAGAAAGCGGGCGCATTTTGGAAAAGAATTCAAGCATATTTCAATGCAAGTCCACAAGTGGTGGGACAACCAAGGGAGGCCAGTCATTGCAAGCAGAGATGGGGAAGGCTTAATGACCAAGTGTGTAAGTTTGTGGGGGCGTACGAGGCGATTATGAAAGAGCAGTCGAGCGGACAAAATGAAAATGACGTTGTCAAAGCTGCTCACCAAATCTTCTTTAATGACCACCAGTTCAAATTCGGACTTGATCACGCATGGAGGGAATTACGCCACAACCAAAAATGGTGTTCAGCATCGGCGATTAAGGATGCTGAGTTGAAGAAAAGGAAAAAGTTTGGAGACTCAACAGTTCAAGACCCTACTTCAGTGTCTGAATGTCATGGAGACGACTCACCAGTTCGTCGTCCGGTTGGTGTGAAGGCAGCCAAGGCTGCGAAAGGTAAAAAAAGTAGTAGCCAAAAACCGGATGATGTAGACAAGGGAAAAGGCCTCTTACAGGTACAGTCCATGTTCGAGCTTAGACAACAGGACATGGATTACCGAGAGAAGCTTTCAAATCGAAAACTGCTTCAGTGTCTCCTATCCAAAACCGAACCACTAACTGAGACTGAATTAGCTCTTAAGGACAAACTCATTGCCGATATTTTGTCATAATGTGGTTTGTTCTATGGTATGTACTGATCAACTCTTTTGTATGTTTGTTTTCCATTACGATATGCTATTGTTGAAATGGTTCTAACGATATGTGTTTGTTAATGTAGCTCTGGAGGTGCAAAGACAGAGAAAGCTGTGGAGGGGCCAAGCTGGACCAGTGATTGTTAAATCGTGACAAGTACTTTTGGGTTTTTTCTTTTGATCACCACAAAATCATTCCCGTGAATGTATTATCCTGAGTAGTAGTTTTGGTTTTTTCTTTAGGTCACCACAAATGTTTTCCCGTGATTGTATTCTCGTGATATTGTAGTATTGGTTTTTTCTTTATGTGACATTGTAGGTCACCACAAACTTTGTGTGGAAGTGTGTCTAAATTATTGTAGGTCACCACAAACTTTATGTGACATTGTGACATTATTGTACTTCTCCCTTTATATATGTATTGTTGTTGGCTTTCGTTCATTTACATCTCGTCTCTTCTTTTACATATCTCTTTTAGTATTTCTTCCTTTGCCAAACTTCCCATCTCACACTTCTCATCTCTCTCCTTTCTTGTTCTAAAAACCTTTTCCATCGTTTTTTTTTCTTCCTTTGCCAAGCTTCCCATCTCACAGTTTACCCAAAAACTGAGAACATGGCCTCGTCATCTAACAACTTTGGCGATGATCAGTTTGATGATCTTCGTGATGATCATTTTGATGATATTTGTGATGACATATTTGACGAAATTGGTGATCAACATTTCGACAATGTTTTAAGCTCTTTTCTTGAGCATCAAGCAACACCTAAACCAAAGAAGAAGAAAAGAGCTTATATTGAACGACACCGCGAACAAGGCCACATCCGCTTGTGGAACGACTACTTCAGCGAAGATGCTACATATCCCCATCATTTATTCCGCCGTCGTTTTAGAATGAACAAAACATTGTTCATGCGAATTGTTGAACGACTCTCACAGGAATTTCCTTTTTTCCAACAAAGGAGAGATGCTATCGGAAGGCTTAGTCTATCTGGATTACAGAAATGTACGGCGGCAATTCGAATGATGGCATACGGGAGTGCGGCTGATGCAGTTGACGAATACCTCCGGCTTGGTGAAAGTACGGCAATTTCATGCTTGGAAAATTTCACCGAATGAATAGTTTCATTGTTCGGGGATGAATACCTAAGAAGACCGACACCAGAAGATCTTCAACGTCTACTGGATGTAGGACAGGAACGTGGATTTCCAGGGATGATTGGGAGCATTGATTGCATGCATTGGAAGTGGAAAAATTGTCATACTGCTTGGAAATGGCAATATACACGGGGTGCAGGAAAACCAACAATTGTTTTAGAGGCGGTGGCATCATACGATCTTTGGTTTTGGCATGCCTTTTTTGGACCTCCAGGTACTTTGAACGATATTAATGTTCTTGACCGTTCACCTGTATTTGATGACATTTTACAAGGACGAGCTCCAAGAGTCAGGTTTTCTGTCAACGGACACGAGTATCGTTTGGCATTATCTCACCGACGGCATTTATCCGAACTGGGCTACTTTTATCCAATCAATTCATCTACCTCAAAATGAAAAAGATTCATTCTTTGCCAAATGTCAAGAATCTGTACGGAAAGATGTCGAAAGAGCGTTCGGAGTCTTGCAAGCACGATTTGCCATTGTCAAGAATCCGGCTCTCATTTGGGAAAAGGAAAAGATAGGAAAGATTATGAGGGCATGTATCATATTACACAATATGATAGTGGAAGACGAGCGAGATGACAAAACTCAATATAATTTATCAGAGTTTGAACAAGGTGAGAGAAGCAGAACTTCACAAGTCGATATGGATTATTCAACTGATAGACCCACAAATCTGCACAACATGAAAGGCATTCGTAATCAAGTTCGTGATAACCGAACCCATCACCAACTGAAGTCTGATTTAGTTGAACATCTATGGCATACATTTGGATCAACTCAACAGTAGAATTAGCCTTTTGCTGATTTCTAAGTTTGAATTTGTAATATTTTTTTTCGAATTTTCTATTTCCTGTGTATTTATATACTATGTTATGATTTGCTAATTATGTGTTATGTTATATATTTTATTTCAAAAAAATCTATTCAATAAAAATTTCGAAAATATAAAGTCAAATAAAAATATTAGTTTTTTATTCTGATGAACTCTCATAAAGGAGTTCAGGGTTGGATGGATTAAAATGGTAGGGGTTCTTCATTTTACACCAAACTTTAAAAAATTGAAAAATATTCCCCATGAACCCCATAGTGAGTCTCAGGGTTGGAGATGACCTTAATTCTATGAATGTTAGAGCAGGTACATTGAGGGTTCAGCCCATCTTTTAGGCAAAAACGTTTAAAAATAAATAAAATAAAAAAAATTTCGGCAGAGCGCTCCTTAGCGAAGGGGTTTATGAACCTGTCTCTTAAGGACACGTGGTGGAATCTGGTTGGACAAAAGTTTTTTCTTAGTTTTCTGGAGACGCTCTGCTCCATCTAGTGTCTTTCTCACACTAACCATTTTTCTGTGATTGCATCTGACGACGCCTTTTCGTTGATCTGCGATTCTTGTGTTGAAGCAGCAGCGAGTCGGGACAGTGAAATGGCAACTGAAGATGGGCAAGATCCGAGAATCCCTAAGATCGCCTCTTCCACTAGAGTCATCCCCGACTTCCCTAAATCAGGTCTTTTCCCTTTTCTTCGATGGTGTAAATTTTGGCCAATTTTAGGATTTGATGCATTGGTTGATAGGTATAAGGAGATGATAGAGAAGTATCATCCGGGATTGGGTGATGAGAGATGGCCCTTTGTGACACATTTGCTTTGGTTTTCTAGAGATTTCCTTTGGTTGATTCTTCTGAGTCACTGTGGATGATAGTGGGAGTCATTGATACGAACTCGGAAGTGGTTGAACCGGAAGAGCTTATGGATCGGTTAAGAACCCTAAAGTCGGTTAATGTTGATGGTGTTATGGTCGACTGCTGGTAGGGAATTGTGGAGGCTAGTCATACGCCACAGGTGTATATTTGGAGTGGCTACAAGAAACTTTTTCAGATGATACGTGTGGATCCTAAAATCCACACTCAAGGATTTAGTGTGTTGATTTTGTGGTAGAAGAATTTGGGCAAGAATTCTGGTAAGAGCGATGTAAAAATAAAGACAAAGATCGACGAATTTGGATTGTATTGATGAAAGATGAATGTTTACAAAGTGTTTTTGTGTTAAAGATTGGATGCCCTTTACAAGAGATTCAACTCCTATTTATACTAAATAGAACGAAACATACTAAATAGAACGAGATGAACTGTTCCGAGATCCGCGGGTTGATACGTTCTCTCCTTCTCCGAGATCTCCGCGATCTCCTCTTATCTATCTCTCCACGACCTCTTCTTCTCCGAGATCTCCGCGATCTCCTCTTAGATTGACTTGTACTTGAGTATATTCCTTGGAGATGCTTTCCTTGCCTTAGTTACGGGCATACATGGCCCAAAACTTCCCTTATAATGGTTTGTTCACTCAAAGTGCTTTATGGGCTGGATTTGGGCTAAATCCAACACCAACAATTGCTCCCCAGCCCGTTTAGTGAGAAACGAACTAAAGGGGCGGACTATTTTATGGAGAATTTTTCACCCCATGGGACCTGAACGACCTATATCGCGTGATTTTTGATCATTGGATCAGGATTTCGAACAAGGCATTATAAATGCTCTTTGTTTAAAATGTGCCGAAGTTTTATAAGTTGTGACCATACGATCGTTTTAGAGAGATCGCGTTATGGTGTCAAGTAGCGAGTAGCGAACTGTGATAGTAACTTTTATTTTGTAGGCGCCAAGTTACTCAGCGAGCTACGAGCTTGATGATCGTTCTGTTTAGATCGATTTATGATAGTTTACTGCGGATAACGACTTTTTAATCTACTTTGGTAGAGTTCGTTATCGTTTAGCGAGCTATAAAATATGACTATTAATTACCCAATATGATAGCGAACTAAGCTGAGATTGTTCGGCTCAATCGTTACTTAGCGGGCTCGGGGCCTCGAGCTATAAGATCGTTTTAAGAGATCTTGAAGTGAGCGAGTTTTGGAATAAGGGTTTCTATTCACAAACGTGATGTTACATACATTTTATAATTTTGACTAAGTATGTAAGAAAAGATAGTGGCTGGACTCGGTGTTGAGCTGCGTACGTACCCCGTCAAGGGATCAAGCCTGAATGTAGTTCGATTATTGTCGGTGCTCGGAGGTGGTAATGTTTGAGATTTATAACATTCCACGTTCTTATCTCTGGCACCCCGGTTCTGATGTTCGCGAGTTTGTAGACACCGCTGCAGACTACTTCGACGATCCCGTAAGGACCTTCCCAGTTAGAGCACAGCTTGTTGGTGCCACACTCTTTAGTGTTATCGAATACCTTGTGTAGCAAGAGATTGCCAATACTAAAGCTCAGGTGTTTTACACCAGAATTATAGTAGCGGGTCGCGGCCTGCTGGTAACTCTAGATTCGGACAAGGATTCGATCTCTTTGTTCTTTGATCACACCTTGCCGATCTCTTAGCCATTCTTTGTTAAGTTCTCCGTTTTCCGGACAGAAGGGTCCGGCGGATACTTAGAACTAATGTATGTCACGATCTCATAAGGGAGTCCGTGTCTGCAAAGGTGGAGAGGTAGGGTGTCAGTAGCCCGGCTTCGAACTGTTCTCGGAGGACGTTTTGTTCTTTCTCGTAGCGAGCGAAGCTCGAAGCTCGATGCAAAGCGTCGTCTAGAGACACCGGACAGCGAACCGATAGTTCCTGTCTGAAAGGTGAGTCGAACCATAGCCCTTGTTTGAGTGCGGAGAGTGCTACTCCCTCATTTAGTTCGGATATCCTGGATTTTATTTCTTTGAACCTAGCCAAGTAAGACCGCAGGGGCTCCTGGTGATTCTGTCTGCAGGTCCATAGGTCGGCTTCCGTGGCCTTGGACATTATGAACACCGAATAGTGCTTAAGAAAGGCCGAACCGAGCTGCTGGAAATTGTCAATGGATCCTTCTTCTAGTCCGGCGAACCATTCTAGGGCGGATCCGACTAGATTTTTGGCGAAAAGCCGGCAATAGCCTGCTTCTTTTTCCTCATCGTTGAGATGAGCTCGGGCTACGGAGAGCCTAAAAGCTCTGAGGTGAGCTAAGGGATCTGCTGTTCCATTATATTCTGGGAACCGCATTTTCCCAGTGTCCTTGATCTTAGCGTTAGCTATGCGATCGGTGAAGGGGGTCCTTCTAGTTTCGTCCAGCACGCGATCTATATCAGGAGCCACACTCGTTGCTTTATGTACTACGGCGTACATACGTTTTAGCTCGGCGTAGTTTGCTTCCATGTATCGCTGGAGCGCATCGAAGTTGTTTATAGATCGCGGATCTATGATATTTGGAGGGTCCTCCGCGCGCTTCTTATTGCGCGCGTTTCCTTGTTGCTGACTTACGGTTGGAAAGTGTCGTCGGCAATCCGTTCTTCGTTAGATCGCCTGTCGGTTGACGGGTTAGCACGGTTCGTACTACGACCTTGGGATCCGCGGAAGAATAGAGGTGTTGATAGCTGATTTCGACAATCGTCTACTGCAGGTGTTTAGTGCTCCGTTGTTCCGGATCCGAGTATCGGCAGATGACTGACTATCTCACTAAATATTGGGGTGTTGTTAGTTTGCGACGGAGTGACGAACTGTGCTGACAGATTGTCATTTGCGAGGTGTTCGAACTCCAATCGAGTAGTCGGGGGCGGACTTCGATCTTCCTCTTCGGATAGATCGTCGTGATCTTCGCCCTGAGACTGAGTTGGTTGTGTCCGCTCGTCGCAAGTTAGCTATCTCTTTCTCATTTCGTGTGAGAATAGCTCGTTGCTCGCGGGCTTGTTCTGCCAAGAAGGCTAGCATCCTTCGAAATTCCGCTAGGTCGTCGCCGGGTACTGTCTGAGACGATCCGGCCCGGACGGATTCAGTTCGATTCAAACTGCTGGATCCGATCGTTGGAATTCCAAATCTTGTCCAGGTCCGCGAATATGTGAATATTGGGGCCGTTCCGGACTCCGAACGTGACACGGCGGGCATGCCGGTAGTTCGCATCGCGCTCGAAGAAACAGTTTGAGTCGAGCTGGTTGTCGGATTTGCGACGCTCGGCTCGTTTGTCTGTTTATGGGCAGACGAGCTTTGTGGATCGGTGATCTCGGCACCTCCAGATCGTCCTGCGATGCGGAAGTTTAGTGCGAGGCCGGAGCTTGTCTTTGAGCCAGATGTTTCAACGTTTCTGGGATCCATTTCGTTCTTACTTGTCTTTGAGATCGGTCTCAGGTGTAAGAATTTCTTTGTTTCTTCCCCACACTCAAGGATTTAGTGTGTTGATTTTGTGGTAGAAGAATTTGGGCAAGAATTCTGGTAAGAGCGATGTAAAAATAAAGACAAAGATCGACGAATTTGGATTGTATTGATGAAAGATGAATGTTTACAAAGTGTTTTTGTGCTAAAGATTGGATGCCCTTTACAAGAGATTCAACTCCTATTTATACTAAAGAGAACGAAACATACTAAATAGAACGAGACGAACTGTTCCGAGATCCGTGGGTTGATACGTTCTCTCCTTCTCCGAGATCTCCGCGATCTCCTCTTATCTATCTCTCCACGACCTCTTCTTCTCCGAGATCTCCGCGATCTCCTCTTAGATTGACTTGTACTTGAGTATAATATTCCTAGGAGATGATTTCCTTGCCTTAGTTACGGACATATAGGGCCCAAAACTTCCCTTATAATGGTTTGTTCACTCAAAGTGCTTTATGGGCTGGATTTGGGCTAAATCCAACACCAACAATACGCGAGCTTGGACTTAAGCTACAGGTATTGATCATGCATTCCCTTTATTAAACTTAACTCATACTTGAAGTTTCTCTTCTCTATTTGTTAATAATCGATGGCACATAAGCATCCATTAATCATTTTGCTCTCCAAGTATTTTCGTTGTGGTGTTAAAACAGCTTTACATTTCTTCGTGTGTAGTATTAGTTTTTATACCAAACATTCATTGCCTGTAAACTTTCAATCTTCTCTCTGTGATAAAGAGCAACCGAAACGTTAATATATTAGTTAGCTGGTTTTGACTAGATTCTGCGTTGGCTCTAAGATAGTTTTTGTGGCAGGGAAAGTGCAAATCAAAAATTTGGTAACGATGGAAGTATCAACGAGTACTACAACCATGACGGAAGATAGCAACAGCTATAGGAATCTTCGGTCAGACATTGCAGAACAGGTACTGCATAAAGAAAGGATCAGCTCTCCAAAACAAGCATCGGAAAACAGAGCGAAAGTATGCATCAGAAAACAGAGGAGAGTGATTGGCAAGCTAGCATAAAATATTAATTTTAAACTGTTAAGAACTCTTATGAAGTTCATCAATGGAGGAAGAAAAAAAAGAATGATTCTTAACTGTTTTGATAAAAAAAAATATATTAAAAAATTCCAGTGAACTCCATGAAAGGGTTTATTGATGTACATGCTCTTATAAGATCAAGTTTAATTGGATCAAAATGTATTGTTCTGTGAGATATAAAAATGTTGATAATCGAATCAAGTAAGATGTCAATTATTATTATTATTATTATGGGTTTTGGCAATTATTACACAGATTAAAAAATTAATAAAATATACAAATATACCCCTAATTAATATACTTTTATAACAATTAATTACAAATACTATTATCTTTAAATGAGGGATAAAACATGAAATAAGAGTAAAAAGTTACAATAAAAATGTAAAATGACATTCTTTTTAAAACAAAAAATGAAATCTAAAACGACACTTATTATGAAACGGAGAGAGTATTATTCTGGATTTTTTATACGTATGAAAAATGAATATTCAATGTAGAAAATTAAAATTACTCAATAAATAAAGAGAACAAAGAAGCAGCGTAGAAAACCTACCCACTTGAAACGGAAGTCGCACGTTTAACATGCTACTGGCTGTCTCAGTCTGCCATAGTTACACTACCAACCATTTTACTATATTATTGTCTAATGATCCACCAAGTATTTGATATTTTTGGTCCCATAGTTGAAATAGGGAATCTTTGTTTCTAAAAGATTTGCCATTATATTTCATCCAAAAAAAAAGATTGGCTATGAAAGGAGAGATCGTTTCCATCTAAGTTCTTATATATGGAGAGATCATTTCCACCAACTTCCTATTTTTGCAGAGATTATTCGGGGATAATTCTATCAAGTTCCTCCACTAAGGAGAGATCAATACTATCATTTTTTTTATGGAGCATGTTGTTAAAAGCTCAATTTGAATGGGGCCACGGAAATTATATGAGTGTGGTAGGGCAGGATGCGGCGCTCTAGGGTTCCTGAAAAGGCGACTTTGCCTCTCTTCTTGTGAAACCAAGATCTCGCCGCCGTTTTGCTCTGCCACCTGCGTACCCCTCACGTCCCTTATACGCTGCTTTGGCGTTTTTTCCTTACTGTATTTTGCAGTCCTTTTCGTCGCTCGCTACACCGTCATCTTCAACCCCTTCGTCTCTTGCTTGCCCCACACACAGAGATGCTTCGACGTTTCACCCGTGAAGAGAAGGGCAAAGACATCGCCGCGTCACACCGCTGGATTCGTGACCCCCCGATCTGCCTCCCGGATGAAGCTAACCCAGTATTGATCGAAGCAAACAAGCTCACTCTGATTGGAAGAGTCCTGAACCCAAGTGTCCAAAAACCTAAGGCCTTAATCGGTTTTATGCCTCAGGTATGGCGGATGGAGGAGAAACTGGTTGGCCGGGATCTTGGTCCAGAGAAATTTCAGTTCAAATTCAGATCAGAAAGCGACCTTCAAGCTGTGCTTAACGAGGCACCGTTCCACTTCAAAAGATGGATGTTTGTGCTCCAACGATGGGAACCGGTAATCTCAGACTCCTTTCCCTCGCTAATTACTTTCTGGGTCAGAGTACACGGCATTCCCAATCACTGCTGTACTGAAAATAACCTTAAGGCAATAGGTAATGTGTTGGGGATTTACGAATCTCATGATATAGAGGAAGCTATGGTTAGAGTCCACATTGATGCCTTAAAACCATTAATCAAGAAAAAAGCGATTCAGTTCCCATCTGGAATAGAGGTATCGGTTATATTCGAGTATATCAGATTGGAGAAGCATTGCTTTCACTGTATGTCGCTGGGACATGAGAAGGAACATTGCCCGCAGCTCTCCAAGAATCTAGACTCTGACCCGCCAAACCACCATATTAATAACCAACAAACGCTACAGCGCCTGGAGGAAGATCGCCTTAAAAAGGAAGCAAGAAGAAGTAAGCCTCCCACAACTCGATCGGAGCACCCGGCCCAAGTTCCTCCTCGTCGGAATATGCTTCCTTCGTTGGAATATGCTCCTCTGCCTCACCGCGATGATATGATGACTACAGCAACTCGGAATGCCATCCACCATTCTCGGGATCGCCATGATCAAGGTCACCACCGACGTATCTCTCGCACTCCTCCCCGCAGACGTTCTCGATCACCTCCGTGTCACCCCTCTCGCTCGCCACAGCGAAGATCACCGCCTCGTCGTCTACCTCGATCACCAAAGCGGCGCTCTTCTGATCGTTATATTGCGGCACCAAATTCCAGAGCTGGTCCGCTTGATGATCACCGTAAGCCCACCACTCACCGTAGAAACTCTCCTCCTCGTCGTACAGCTTCCCGTAGCTACAAATCCTCTGATTCTTATCGATATGAACAGGGTGATATGAGCTATCGACGCAGGTCTCCACCTGCCCAACTCGTGACTAACAAGAATCTCTCTCGAGGTGACCTCCAACTCCAACTCCATGGAAGAGAGGATGATGGACGAAAGCAGCGCATGACTCACCATGGATCATCCTCGTACCCAATACCCCAGTGGAGGTCCCGATCGCGATCTCCTGCTAGAGACTCCCCGAGCTCGCGTCGCAAACTCCTCCCAGACCAGAACTCAGACAAGCTTGTGTCGTCTTCACGACTCATCTCGCAAGTTTCCAAAAGCCAGGAGCGACTCAACCCTCCTTCTAACAAACTTCGACGATCAGCTTTAGACAGAATTGAGGATCCACGAGATTTCCAGGAGAACTCTCTCCCCTCTGTAGCTGTTTTGGGGAACATCATTGGAGATCCAGATTGGGTGGAAAAAGATGACCTCTTGGACCCTCCCGAGCAGGTTGAGGAATCTCAACTCCACATCTCCACTGCATCTCACTCCAAGAACAAATTTCAGCGTCGACATGATTCATCAGAGAATTCATCTGAAGCTACAATACCGGATCTTCCTCCTCTGAATGGAGAGAAGATTCCGGTGACTTTCAGGTTAGGCCCACGCACCATTCCTGTTAAACAGCGGCTGGAGATACCGAAGAAATCTACTCCCAAAAGGAGACTTTCTAAAGCTTCGTCAAATCCTGCTACTAAAAGCTCATCACGCGCAATCTCCAAGAAACTAGCACCGAACAGTCCAAGCCAGAATGGTCGAGCTAAACGTAGAACGGTCTCGAAGAAAATCTCACCGAGAAAGAAGCTTCGAGTTGAGACGAACAAACAACCCTCCCAAAAGACGTCCAGGATTGCATCGGTTTCTACTTCTCTTTCTAATGTGGATGCCTCTAAAGGCGAACTTGTCGCTTCTATTTCTAAGGTCTTAGTGCCTTCTGCTTGTAAGGGCTTGATGGTTGCCCAAAAACCATCTGCAACTCAATGATTACAACCTGTTGGAACTCTCAGGGGATTGGAAACTACTTGACAGTTCGACGTCTAAGGGAATTGAGATTGAGTCTCTTCCCGGACATTATGTTTCTCGCTGAAACAAAAAACCAAGATGATGTTGTTTTCAGCGTATTTCAGTGGATGGGTTACGATAACAGGTTTACGGTTCCTCCGATTGGACTTAGTGGTGGTCTTGCTCTCTTTTGGAAGAAAGATACACATCTGGAGACTCTATCTTCTTCCCCGAACTTCATAGACACCAAAATAATGTTCAAGGCGAAATCATTCTTTCTTACCTTCGTCTATGGTCACCCGGTATGCCAAAGACGACAAGAGGTTTGGAACCAAATTTCGGAATTGGGCGCTAATAGAAATTTGGCCTGGCTTCTCTCGGGTGATTTCAACGAGATTCTGGATAATTCAGAGAAGCGCGGAGGCCCTAGAAGACATGAAAGCTTGTTCATTAATTTCCGTAGATTCATCTCCCAAAATGGTTTATGGGATGTTAACTTCTCCGGTAATCCGTTGTCCTGGCGGGGGATGCGCTATGATCACTTTGTTCGAGCACGCTTAGACCGTTCGGTCTGCAATGATGAGTGGTTGGAGTCTTTCCCTTCTGGAAGATCGGAGTACTTGCGATACGAAGGATCCGACCACCGTCCCCTAGTCACTTTCCTCGATGACTCCCGAGTAAAGCGAAAAGGTATCTTCCACTTCGACAATAGACTTCGCGAGAAAGAAGAGATCATGACTCTGATTGGCCAAGTTTGGAACAATTCAGATCATAAATCTGTGGTTGCTAAGATTACGAACTGTCGTCGCGAGATAATCAGATGGGTCAAGGATCAAAATATGAACAGCGCGAAGCTTATTTCGGACACTCAGACGGAGCTAGAGAGGGCGCTCTCTGCTGATTCACCTGACCCAGAAGTGATAGGTCGTTGCACTGCTACTCTCGAGAGAGCATATAAGGCTGAGGAGCAATTTTGGAAGCAAAGGAGCCGTGTTCTATGGCTGCAGAGTGGCGATCGCAACACAGGGTACTTTCATGCTGTTACACGTAACCGGCGGACATGTAACAGATTCACGGTCCTGGAGGATAATACGGGAACAGCTTTTCACGAGGAGCATGACTTCTCCCGTATTATCTCGGAGTACTTCCAGGATATCTTCTCCTCACAAAGTAACTCTGATTTTTCTCTTGTCCAGGACGTTTTAGATCCTCAACTGGACGAGGAGACTAATGCTCGACTTATTAGGATCCCTGACCCCGCCGAGATCCACTCAGCAGTCAAATCCATTCATCCCAGCAAGGCCCCGGGGCTAAACGGATTCTCTGCTGGTTTCTTTCACACTTACTGGCCCATCATTGGCCCAGATGTTGTTTAAGAAATCCAAGAGTTTTTCCAGTCTGGATCTTTCCCGACTCGACAAAATGAGACACACATTCGTCTAATCCCAAAGATTTTGGGCCCTAGGAAGGTGGCCGATTATCGACCTATCGCGCTCTGCAACGTTTACTACAAGATCGTTGCTAAGATTCTTACGAAACGGCTTCAAACGATCCTCCCACGTCTCATTTCTGAGACACAATCTGCCTTTGTTCCTAATAGAGCTATATCCGATAATGTCTTGATAACCCATGAAACCCTTCATTACCTTCGTACCTCAGAGGCGAAAAAGAGGTGCTTCATGGCTGTTAAAACGGATATGAGCAAGGCATATGACAGAATAGAGTGGGGTTTCCTTAGAGCCGTTCTAGATCGCCTGGGTTTCCACCATAAATGGATCAACTGGGTAATGGAGTGCGTGAGGACAGTTTCCTACTCATTCCTCATCAATGGCGGACCGCAAGGAAGAGTTCTACCATCCAGGGGGCTTAGGCAAGGAGATCCCCTATCCCCCTACCTCTTCATCCTCTGCACAGAAGTTCTAGCAGGGCTCTGCCGAAAATCCCAAGAAAATGGCTCACTGGTGGGTATTCGGGTATCCCGCAATAGCCCCCAGGTTAATCACCTCCTATTTGCAGATGATACCATGTTCTTCTGCAAATCGGATCCCTCATCATGTGCAGTCCTCTCCTCTATCCTGAGACGTTATGAAGAAGCTTCGGGGCAACGCATAAATCTTGCCAAATCCTCCATCACGTTCTCAGCCAAGACGCACCGCAACCAACGAGCAGCGGCTAAACGTATCCTCCACATTCACAATGAAGGAGGCGCGGGGAAATACCTAGGACTTCCGGAGGATTTTGGCAGGAAAAAGAGGGACATCTTCGCGAGTCAAGTGGACCGAATTCGACAACGCTCATTTAGCTGGGCGTCTCGATTCCTTTCGGCTGCTGGGAAACAAGTGCTTCTTAAATCAGTACTTGCGTCGATGCCCTCGTATGCTATGTCTTGTTTTAAACTCCCCAAGTCCCTCTGTAAGCAAATCCAATCGGTTCTTACTAGATTCTGGTGGGACGACAAACCGGATCAGAGGAAAATGAGATGGGTTTCGTGGAATAGACTTACAACTCCCTTGAATGCGGGCGGACTGGGTTTTCGAGACATTGAACGCTTTAATGATGCTTTGCTGGCCAAGATTGGAGCGCGCCTTATTTCTCACCCCCAGGCTTTGTTATCGAGAGTTCTACTGGGTAAATATTGTCATTCTGTTTCCTTCATGGACTGTGTTCCCCCCTCTAACCCGTCCCATGGTTGGAGGAGCATCATTGCTGGCAGGGAAATTCTTCGACATGGAATGGGATGGCTGATAGGCAATGGCGAGTCCATACGTGTTTGGGATGACCCATGGCTAAGCACATCACTACCGCTTCGCCCGGTTGGACCTCCTACGCTGGAGACTAAAGACCTACTAGTATCAGACCTCATAGATCAAGCCGAGAATACCTGGAACTGGAGGCGAATCCAGGAAATCATCCCTGACTGCGAACACTTGATTCGACTCCTCCCACTCAGCGCCTCTCGCCCGCCAGACAGACTGGTATGGTTACCTTCTAAGAATGGTAAATATGCTGTCCGTTCGGGCTATGGCATCGCCTCAGCAGACCATATCCCCGACCTCCAAAGAGCGTTTAATTGGCAGAAGAACATATGGAAACTTCGCACCGCTCCTAAGATCAAACACTTCCTATGGAAAGCTGCCGCTGAAGCTCTCCCGGTCGGTGTCCAACTGGTCAACAGAGGAATTCAAGTTGATTTTGCCTGTAAGATCTGTGGTGCACCAGAAACGATTACACATGTTATTCGCGACTGTCAGTTTGCTCGAGGGGTTTGGGATTTAGCACCGATTCGGGAAAGACACCACCTCACAACGGTCCATGTTCTGGAGTTTTTGGATAGAATCCCTTCTCTAACCAGCCTTCCACCATCAGGATTATTTGCGGCCTCACTCCCCGCTTGGATCTGTTGGAATCTCTGGACAGCTCGCAACCGACGAATTTTCGCAGATACAGTCTTCTCTGTACAAGAAGTACTCACGAAAGCGATCTCGGATGCGCGAATTTGGCAGGCATCTCAGGAAACAGCTCCCCGCTTGCCGCATACATCACCTGAAGCGCCACCCGCCTTGGAACTCGCTAATTTCAGCTGCAACGTGGATGCAGCTTGGGATGCGATGTCTCGTTCGTGTGGGTTGGGAATCGTCTTCAACTTCAAAGAAGAGAACCAAACACTCACTTTCTCGAGCTCTCGGCGCCATGTCTCCTCAGCTCTTGCAGCTGAAGCCTGGGCTATCCGCGAGGCTCTCCTCCTGGCGACTGAACGAGGATGTGAAGAGATTCAAGTGCTTTCGGACTGTTTGTCCATCGTGAATTCTCTCCAATCTCAGGAATCCCTTAATGAGATCCATGCTATTGTTTCCGATATTCGTCTGTTGACGATATCCTTTTCTGCTTTCTCTATTGCTTATATCCCCCGGACTCTTAATACCGTGGCGGATTCTGTAGCCAAAGAAGCTTTTTGAGCTCTTTTAGACGATGTTTTATGAGTTAATAAAGTTTAAAGTTTGAACAAAAAAAAAGAATGGGGCCACGAATTCAATAATTTGTTCGGTCAGTTTTAATGGCAGAAAAACAATTTTATCTTCGAAGCTTAATTAAGCAGGCCCGATGGAGATTAAATTCAAATCGATCAGTTTCTATTTTATTATTAATTATCATGTTTTTTTTCTTACGGTTGTGTAGTTAAAAAACTAGCATTCTTAGTTGTGTATTAGAAAAAATGGCATTCAAAAAGCGAATTCTTGGGTAAAATTTTCTTGTTTTCTTCTGTTATTCCAAGCTAATATCAATACAAGTCTCTTTCAAAGAAAAGATTATGATCTTTTGAGAAATAATTCTCTTCTATTTATTGGCGATCCAAATATTTAAGTTTTAGGCTAGCAACCAAACCAAGCATTAAAATTAAGAGAATGAAATGCATCTCATTTCATGTTGCCCAAAAAAAAGAAGAATTGCATCTCATTTCATTGAAGATCATGCTTACGTTGCCCCGGCCCAATAAAAGTCACAACATCAGTGTCAAGCGCGTGTTACTTCGTCGCATACGTCTCTAAATCAAGATTTAAAAAATTAAGGTCCCAATCAATGGTTTTACATACCACTATATATTTTTCGTATACGCTTTAAAATGCGATTTTTAACCTAATTATCTCAATTTTTTGACAAAAAAAAACCTAATTATCTCAATTTTTTTACCCACATTCAATTAAAAACTTATTGTTATCTATCAAATTGACCTGTATTCTAATGGATGGATAATCTAAATGCCACGAGGTTATCCACATTTTCCATTTTCTTGTTCATTAATTTAAAAAACAAAAGTCAAAATTTTCTGCCTGTGGTCGACATATGTTCTTACAAACAAAAACTTCATTAAATTAACATAAATTAGTACAATTAGACTATATTAGTAATGATATAAAGTTGGAAAGTTTTCAAGTAATCAATTATACACACACTCCTCCAAAGAAAAAGCGATAAAGACGATAACAACAAATGTCGCTTTTACCCTTCTCCTTCATCTCCACTGAGATGCTTCCATGGCTTTTTCTCCTTCTACTTTCACTTCTTATCCTCTTCAAAACCTATCTTCTTCCTTCCCGTAAAAACCTTCCGCCATGTCCACCAAGACTACCTCTCTTAGGAAACATCCACCAGCTCGGAAGCCTCCCTCACCGCAACCTCAGAGATCTCTCCCTCAAATACGGCCCCGTCATCACCGTCTTCCTCGGAAGCGTCCGCACGGTGGTTGTCCACTCACCGGAGACGGCGGAGGAAGTTTTGAAAGCTCACGATTCCGATTGCTGCACACGCCCCAGATTATCAATCACAAAGAGCTTCTTCTACGACGGGCTCGGTCTTGGTTTCACTCAATGGGGAGATTACTACAAAGACGTTCGAAAACTCTGCGTTCTCGAGCTTTTCTCCGTGAAACGAGCCAACTCGTTTCGGAATCTCAGAGAGGAGGAGCTGAGTCGACTCGTTAACTCGGTTTCCGAATCGGCTGGTTCTGGATCTTCAGTGGATCTGAGCGCGAAGCTTGTTAGGTTCGTCGCGAGCTTCACTTGTCGAATGGCGTTTGGATTGAGTTTTCAAGGGAGCGGAATCGATAACGAGAGGTTTCTGGAGGTGTTCACGGAGGCGAACATGGTGATCGGAAAATTCGCGGCGGAGGATATTTTTCCTGTGTTTGGGTGGATCGTTGATCGGATCTCCGGGCTTGAATCTAGCCGGAGGAAGAGTTTTCGAGATCTCGATGCGTTTTATCAGAAAGCGATTGTTGATCATCGGGAGAAGAAGAAGACGGAGGAAGATCGCGAAGATCTCATCGACGTGTTGCTTAAATTGCAGAGTCAAGAAACCAAACTCGGTTCCACACGGATCACTGATAAACACATCAGAGCTATTCTTATGGTAAAGTTTCTAAATTCAATTTCGACATTAAACCCCGTTGGTTTCTGGTAGGAAAACCGGTCTACAAATTGATTTGGATTCAGTATTTTTGGTAATTTAGTTTAGTGTTCAGTTTGAGAAAATGCCAGGTTCAGTTTGGTTTTCGGTTTGATTTCGATTTGTTTTCCAGAAAAGTAACTCAAAAATTAAAAGAAATAATTATTTTATTTAAATGTATAAATATGTAATATATAAACAAACATCAGAAATTCGTAAAAATAAGCATATCAAAATATGATAAATTATTGTGGAGTTGACTATCACTATTTATACATAATAACTCAAACTTCTGTACTTTTATATATTCGTTCAGTAAATACACTTTGAATACATATAACATAAACATTTCTCTCTCGCTCTTATTTTTTTCTCGTTTCTCTTTTTATTAATATTTTTTGCAGATATAAATTTTAATATTTATAAATATTTATCTTTATAATAAATTATACATATTATTATAACACGTTATCAACACGATCACTCTACGTTATAATTAAATATATATTTATAATATATACACTACTATAATAAAAGAAATTTCATTTATATAATTATTTATTATTTTTTAGTGGATGTTTAATACACCACTATTCACTTAATATTATAGTGGATGGTTTGTCGCCATCGCTGCATTATTATTTTACCGTATTTATATCATGGTCGCTAAATGCTCCATAATTATTTATTTTTATTAATATTACAATGGTCGAATGTGTCGTCTTGTAATTATTTTACTAAATAATGTGGATGATTATGTCACCATAATATTGTTGTTAAATATCAGTTTATATATAGATTATTATATAAAAAGGTTCTGCCACTTGTATATAAATTTTTTATCTAAAAAAATTGATAAATTTAACTGATTGCTTATTAAATTTTTTGGAATAATTTTTTTTTAATTATTTTCTCACCAACGATCACAAAGAAAATTTTTCAAAATATTTTACTTTTTTATAAGGCTATAAATAGTGTTTTCAATCTTTAAATATACTTATCTTTCATTCATTCATCTCACTCAAATATTATATATTCTCTCAAATATTTTTTGGTTTTAATTTCATAAGAAAGATAATTCGTTTGTTGTTAAATTTAAGGGCAACTATAATTTTTGTTTTTATTTAGGTCTCGCCGTTGGAGAATTTACTCCTGAAAAGTATACCTCAATTGTTATGTTACTTTTCTATGCAATTTTTTTTATAATCACTTTATTTATTCATGTAAACAGTTTATTTTAATATACAATATTATTATCTTACTAATGATACTTTTGCAATTATGTTTTAGAATATAAAATGGCAAACATGAGAAGTTTAAGTTCTCGACTCTCAAAATAACTGGAGCAAACTACATAGCATGGATCACCGATGCAAAATTTTACCTAGAGTCGGAAAAGTTAACCGACACCATAAAAGAGAGAAATAAATCGTCTACCCAAGATAAGGTAAAGTCGATTATTTTCTTAAGAAAATATCTAAATGAAAATGTGACGCATGTCTATGCGCACATAAAAGATCTAGCAGAGCTGTGGCAAGCACTTAAAGATAGGTTTGACAACCAGAGGGAAATAAACCTTTCCTATACTCTTGAAGAGTGGAAAAACTTGAGGTTTCAAGATTTTAAAAAGGTTGAGGAATACAATTTCACTATTATGAGAATAGTCTCACAATTGAAATATTATGGTAAGCCCGTCACCGAGACAAAAATGCTCGAGAGGACGTACCTCACATTTGATAAGTAACATTGTGTCCTACAGAAAATGTATAGAAATTGTGGGTATACGAGATTCTCTGAATTGATCGTAATACTCATAATAATAAAGAAGAATAATGAACTTCTCCTCTGAAACCACAATTCCCGACTTATGGGAAACAAAGCATTACCTGAAGCAAATGCAACGGTTGTAGAGAAACCAGAAAGAAAAAGTCAAACTAATAGGAGTCATGGCTGTTGATTGATTCGCGGACGAAGAGGAACTTACAACCCCAAAGGGAGGAACTCATACAAGTGGGTTCGGTCTGAACAAACATCAAAAGGGAAATAACCTCAAGTGAATACTAACCACAAGTGTGAGAATGTATGTTACAGATGCGGTCCAAATGACATTGGTCTTGTACCTGTCAAACTCTTTGACATCTTTTTAAGTTGTATTAAGAGTCTGTCAAAGACAAAGTAAAAGAAGTGAACCTCCCGGAACACTTCGAGGGTATATCATACCTCGACTCCTCTGATTTTGCGGATGAGTTCGACGAGATCGCTGTAGTGGATAACTGGAAATGCTTGTAGTGAGACTACTGAATAATCTCCACTAATGCCATGTATAATTATTACATTTCAATTTTATAACGAATAATATTGTCTCTCTCAACAGCTTATTGTATTATTACGTTATCAGTTTTAAAACATATTGTGTTGTTTTTACAACACACACAACACATAGTGGAAAAACAACACTAAATGTTTTAAAACTGAAAACGTAATAATTATACAATAAGCAGTTGAGAGAAACAATATTATTCGTTTTAAAACTGAAATGTAATAATTATACATGGCATTAGTGGAGAATATTCAGTAGTCTCATTACAAGCATTTTCAGTTATCAACTACAGCGATCTCATTGAACTCTTCCGCAAAATCGGAGGAGTCGAGGTATGATATACCCTCGAAGTGTTACTTGAGGTTCACTTA